GGGGACCATAATATGAAAGTTTTATCGCGGGCATCAAGTAGCCCCGACTTGAATATTATTGAAACTTTAGGGCATCGGATGAAAAAGACTCTGCGTAACAATCCTGAGCGTACAGTTCCAGCATTAAAGGCAAATATCACCGAAATTTGGAACACTTTCACCCCCGAATATTGCAAGACCTTGGTAGATTCCATGCCAAAACGCATAAAAGCTGTTATTGCCGCGAAAGGTGATGTTACTTCTTATTAATGTTCGATTTAAAGTAAAACATTTAATTAAATGCGTCCGAATATTTATTTGTCAGCAAATTCGGTATGTTTTTGATATTTTGCTATGTAATTTATTTGAAATAAAGAAACAATTCATTACGATAGCACTTTTTTTTTGAATTTTTCAATCGAAAAGGCAAAAAGAATCAATTTAAAATAAGTACAAATATGTTTTTTTATTATTTCGTACATCGTCCGAGCAATTAGTTGTTAGGGCTCGTATAATATAAATAATCATTTAAAAGGGGCCCATCGCATTGTAAGAACTCCAGTAATTGGAGAAGCACTTTTAAAATGCAATTGCTGAAAATCCTTACCTTAGTACTACTAATATCTCGCACACCTTGTTCTGGAAAGATTTTCTATTGTACCCATATCATATTAATTGAGTCCAAGGGTTACTTTCCAGAGATTTTCCCTTCCGTGTTAATTTTTGTCAGTGGTTTTTGAACAAAATTGCTCATAATCTTTTGTTTGACCAAGAAATAATATTTACAGGTTTTTGCCAATGAAAAGCTTCATGCAGTTGCTGGGATTGTTGGAAATTACCTAATGGGACCCATTTTCTTACCAGAGAGGCTAAATGACCATTATTAACGTCGGTTTGCTAGAAGAAGTACCATATTTAATTAGGAACAGATTGTGGTTTATGCATGATGGCGCGCCTGCTCATTTTAGTGTCGCAGTAAGATAATATGGTCTCCTAGGTCAACAGATTGAAAGAGTTTGGACTTTTTCTTATGGGGGAATCTTAAAAGTCACCCCAGTTAACAGTGTAGAGGGGTTGAAGAATCGTATAAAAGTTTCCTGCGATTTAATAAGAAACACTGAAGGTATACTTCTACGAGAGCAGAGCAATATGCACACATTATTTTTCATTTATTAAGACAATTTTGTTAAAAATTGTTAATAGTAGGTAACGTTTTTTTTTCAGGCGAGAATCGTTTATTATTTATTTTGTTGTTAGTATGTTGTTATTTTATTAATACTGTAAAAGCAAAAAGAGCAGTTTTCTAATATTTTTCTAATAATTTTTTCCTGGTAACTAAACACTAGATATTTTGTTTTAGATAGATATTACATTTTTCACAAAAAAGTACTCGATTTAACAGTGCAGTGGCGACCTAATTAACCAAAATATTATTTGGTCAAAGCACGACACTGATTTCCTTAAAAAGATGACATTTTTTCCTGGTAACTAAACACTAGATATTTTGTTTTAGGTAGATATTACATTTTTCACAAAAAAGTACTCGATTTAACAGTGCAGTGGCGACCTAATTAACCAAAATATTATTTGGTCAAAGCACGACACTGATTTCCTTAAAAAGATGACATTTGCAATTCATTTATGAACAGATTTGATTTGAAAAAAATAAAGAAAATAAATTTCTTTAGAAATGATTGTAGATTATAAGAATAATTTTCATTTTAAAAGAAATAACGCCCCGTGCAATTTGCAAATTTCATTAAAATATCTGATGATATTACAGATATAAAGAAAATTGATTTTATTTTACCACTTTGCCAATCTGTATCACAAAAGTTAAGGACATGTGTGCATATAAAGTTTTCTTTTTAAAACGAGCCCAAAAATCGCCCTTTCAATTAGAAAATACCCTGTATGCAAAGAAAATATTCCAAAAAATACCGAATATTTGAATATATGTGCAATAAATTTGTTTCGTTTTGTTTTGTATTTCTCAGTTTAACGTCTTTTTCTACATTTCCCGTAAAACGAATTTTTATATTTTAGTCTAAATGAATTTTTAACTCCCCTAAACTTTCATTGTTCGTAAAAGTTTTAGTTCCGCTCCATTCACCGAATATCTGCCGATATACAATATTTACGAATTCAATATTTCAAAGCTGATAAAATAAAATAAATCCTCTGAGGGAAAATACGATGTCATAAAAATTTTCCCCGTTTATTCGGCTCTATACGAACAGTGGTTGCGAATGTTTATGTGACAAATGAGCTAATAAGATATTTAAAACTGTAAAAAGACCAAACCCATATACCGATTGTCAAAAAAACAACATCAGTCCCTCGAAAAAATTGTTCATACATTTAAAATTAAAATTTGAAGTCAGTTTATGAAATCAGTAGTTATTGTGGTAATTATAGTTTTATTTAAGGAATAATAGATGACAGTTACTGATTACTGAAAGTAACAATGAAGATTTGCAGCACAAGAATGAGTATAATGCAAAAGAAATTGGGGCTTAATTTTTTGAATTATTTTAAAAATCTATTGAATCGAAATCAAACAAAAAAAAAGGATTTTTTTCATTTCATGATATTAATTAAAGACTTTTTTACATAGAGAGTGACGTATCTCTTTTATTTACAATAGTTATTTATACAATATATGTCATAAAGGCGTAGATATAAATAAATGAGTTTAAGAATCAGCTATTGGAAAAAATGAACGGAAAATGAAATGAAATGAAAAATGAAAAAAAAAATGCCATTTTTGCAGTAAATAAAAAATATACAGGGCGGACATAAAGTACATTTAGACACCAAGTTAATTTCTTTTTAAATGGAACACCAAGATCTTAAATCTTTTTTCGAATTCTGTGTCAAATTTGAAGCATAATTGATACCTTATACCTCTACCCTTATTTTTAATGAGCAAAAGAATACAAAACAGAAACTTTTGAAACTATCATCTAGTTGTATTAATTAACAACGTATTTTAATTGTAGTATCTTAAAGTGCATATTAAATTGATTTTGAGTTATTAATGAATATCCCTCATTAACCGTTTTCTTAGGAAAACAAAATCAGGAAATTATCTAAACTTTCAATTCTGGAATGGGAAAACAAAATTCAGTACTAATAAAATTTGTCAGAAAACAACGGATTATTTAAATTTAAAATATAAATGACCGATCTTATTTTATAAGTTGCCTCTTATTGGATACTGTGATGAATACTAAGAAAAAACTTGAACAGATAGGTAGAGGAAAACCTTAATTAAGATGATAGAGCAACAACTTAACAAGAGGGAATCCCTTGGTTGTGAGATAATTGACTAAACCCTTAGTAAGCTATTATCTTGATTCGGGTTTAAAGGCCGTCGTCGGTTGGAATTACTTCCTAACGTTTCGCTAGCACGAGTGGCGAGCTTCTTCAGAGGTCCTTCCATCTCCGATGTTGGACGTAGACTGACGATTTCTCCTGCGCAGGTTGTATTTATGCCGATTGGTGGTGGGCGGGGCTTGTTCCGCTTCGGTTGGTCTCGGGATATCGATCGGTACTGTTCGGGCGTTCCTAAGGATCGGGTTCCAGATTTGGTTGAGTCTAAGGGTCTCCTCCTTTCTGTTGAAATTGTGTGGGTGTTTTTGTATCTCAATGGCTTCCTTGACAGGCTACGCAGTGCCAGTCCTTCACTTCTCGTCAGGTTAGTCTTGGGTGGTTTTGCCTTCCTGAGGATGTTGGCTGTCTCGATTCGATAGGTTCTTGATGGCTGCTTCGGTGCTGGAGATGATCTCTTCAATCGGAATGTGACGGGGAGTGATTGCGAAGTTCTCTCCTTTGGTTAGCACTGTTCTCTAGACCTCCGTGAGTACTCTGTCCGTCATATTAACCACGAGTCGCTCACTGTCTAGGCTTGCTGTTTTGGGGCTTGTTTTTTCGCAAACTTCTCGTACTTCCTTATCTGTTGCTCATTTGTGCGGTCCAGTTCGTTCCTCATGTTGGAATGTGAGATTGCATCCATTCTGTCCCAATTCTGTTGTTCGATCTTGTTGCCCAGTGTCAAATGCAGGCCAAGAAGTTCCTCGTCCGTCTTCGCAAGGCTACGACGACATCAAAACAATCTTTAAGCCTACAAAGAAGATCCAGCAGACCATCAGGTCTGCGAAGGATAAGAGGGACTCACTGTCAGCTGCAGGAGTCTACCGCATTCCGTGTTCATGCGGAAAGGTCTACATCGGAACTACCAAGAGATCAATGGGAACGAGACTTTAGGAGCATAAAGCAAGCTGCAGGCTAGGACAGACAGAGAAGTCTGCAGTAGCCGAACACGCACTGGGCAGCGGTGAACACAGGATACACTTTAAGAGCTGTAAGTTACTAGCATCGGTCAACGGCTATCACAACAGACTAGTCAGGGAAGCCATTGAGATACAAAAACACCCACACAATTTCAACAGAAAGGAGGAGACCCTTAGACTCAACCAAATCTGGAACCCGATCCTTAGGAACGCCCGAACAGTACCGATCGATATCCCGAGACCAACCGAAGCGGAACAAGCCCCGCCCACCACCAATCGGCATAAATACAACCTGCGTAGGAGAAATCGTCAGTCTACGTTCAATATCGGAGATGGAAGGACCTCTGAAGAAGCTCGCCACTCGTGCTAGCGAAACGTTAGGAAGTAATTCCAACCGACGACGGCCTTTAAACCCTAATCAAGATGATAGCTTATCAACGGGCCGCGAAAGCCAATTTATTAAGCTCTTAGTGATATATTTGAAGGTCCATTTTTGATATTATAGTAGCATCATTGAAAGGTATGTTTTTTCAAATATATCCAACACTCAATAAAACCTTTTTTCCAATACTGACAAGGGAGATATAGTGCGTACACTGCATACATGGATCTGCGTGTAGAACTCGGATAAGCATCACTAGAATTCAAATTTCTTTCTTGTTTCAAATACATGTCGTTGTAATTATTATCTACATAATCGACGTTGCTTAGAGTAAAAGTACTCACCATTCAAAACGTGCAAAAGTACCGATGCCGAGTCTAAATTTGAAGGACTGCATGTGTAGTTTCCTGAATCTTCTGATCTTGTATTGTAAATGACCAGCGTGCTGACCGTGGTTTGAGTCGCTTCTCTCTCAATTTTAATGTCGATGGCGTTTTCCTCGTATTTGAGAACCCTATTCCCATCGTGGTACCAGAATATATACGCTGGCTCTTCCAACGATTGGGTAATCACGCATTTCAGCTGAACGGTACTACCGGTCTTGACGAATATGTCCGATTCTCCTAATATTTCGATTTTCGGGACTAGAACAAAGACGATTATTATTAGATGCAGTTTTATTTCTTGCAATTTAGTATTTGAAAGGCACCGAATAAGAAAATTTGTGAGTTTTTCATTTGTCTATAGCATTAGAAGTAAAAGATTCTGATATTTGATATATGCCATTATTATTTATTGACTAAACAACAACTCAGAGATAAAATGAAAATTGTTTGAAATTGTTGATAAAATTAAATAAATACAAGCTACATGGGAACAATTGCTAAAAATTTATATACTCAATTCAAGATACAAGGTTTATCGAACTATAAATGAAGAAAAGAGAATTAGGATTTTTATTGCATTTTGGAAATTACGAACTGGTAATCTGAACGAAGTAAACAAATTAAAGGATGTGGCGTCAAAGAAAAATCCTCCTTGGAGAGGATTTTTTGTTGAAGCCACGTGATATTTTAAACAAGTCTATGCACTAAAATGAATACGAGGTACCTGAAATGGATAAAAGTCGCAAACAAATCATACCGTAAAATTTATAAAATTGAGAAAAAATTATGACACAAATTTCAATAGGAGATATAATTTGCAGCTGTGCATTTTCAATTTAATGTGATACCTTTTAGTTAATTTTTAGTTTACTTTTATTGTGCCTGTCTTTCTTATATTTATGCTCAAAATCCAGTAATATTAGGAACAGATTTCGATGCCAATGAATACGCAATATTGGTGGCCGCCATTTGCATGTATAAAAAGGTTTTATCACAACTATATGACTTGGAAGTAAGAGAGACACAATCAATTGTACTTGGCATTTATTAATTTAACCATACTCAGGGATGGATTCATGTATAATTTGCCAGGAGTAAATGTACAAACGAACCATATATAGCTTGTATTTACTATGATACATCTTCATCATCAGAATAAAAATTGGAACCGGTACTGCCAGAAAATGATCCTTCGTCTACATTAATAACAATTGCTCATACCGTTAGTATTCTTTTATAATATATTTTGTATGTCTTATACAACTGATTGAATTTTTTTTTGGTAACTTTCTGGAGAGCTGCCTTCCAGATACTACTGCAGTATGATCGTCCCTTGCCTCACTTACAATATTTTTATTAAAAAATCTTTCGCATTGAGCCTACACAGCAATTATTTCATCTGAAGCGTACGGCAACTTTGTTTTGCAATTTTTGTCAATTTTTCACATTTTAGATCATTTTCTTGGTAATTAATACGCTTACTGCGCATTATCAATAACAATTGAAGACGGTCTTTCTGAATTTCAATTTTTCGATAACATCGTCAACTAGCGTGATCTTTAAAAATTAAAAAATACCTGTGAAATTGGTAATAGTGCCAATATCGATTCTGAAAACACATTTTATTTAGAGCGAATGACAGATAGGTGTGTTTTCTTAATTTTTCTTACTTGTCTGTGTATTTAAAGGAGGTACTTTGTACAATCATTTTAATCGTTTATCCTTTTGAACTGTACGTTTTTGGCAATTTTTTTTTTATTAATTTTATGCATATAATATGATCTATTTTTGTTGATATAAACATATTTGATTTTATCATTTGTATAACATAAATCACTGTTTTGGTATTTAATTCTATCGATTCATTTCTCATAAAAATTTAAAAAGAAAATTTACGATTTGGCCCCTTTTCAAAAAATGAAAAATGTTATTCAAAAGTATATAATAAGCTAAATACATGATAATTTAAAGTTTATATTTCTAATAGCACTTCTGAAAAAATATATACTGCTATTTTCTGACCAAAAATTTGTTTCAAGCGTAAGTTTCCACTTAAATCAACTTGTATAAGAAAAACTTCTTTATTAACATTTTTAGGAAAAATACCTGTTTGTCACAAAAATTTCTGCACACCGATTTTTTCCAGTACTATACGAGGACTGTCAAAAACAATTTAACTCAAGAGTAAAATTAAGTAAAAATTAAAAAAATATCGAAAAATGATATTAATAAAATGTGATCAGAACAGAAAGCAATGTTCAATATATAATTTTGCAGTGATAATTTAATAATACATTGACAAACCAATGAACGTTTGATAGGGACAAATGTTTGAATGATATCTAAAATTGTTAGAAAACATTGACAAACGAGAAGGTTTTATTGGCATTTATAATCACAAGCGAAAAATATTTATTCATTTTAAAAATAGGCAGATAGCCTATGTACCTGGATATAATTGGACATTTGAACCTAGTCTTTAATAGACATTTTTGGCCTATTTTTTTACTTCTCATAAACATTTAAAATTTTGTCACTTTTCAAAAAATAAAAAATGCTGTTCATAATAAGATAATTATATGAAAATTTAAAGTTTCCATGTCTAATAGCATTTCGGAAAAAATATATATACTGCTAAAAGAAAAACTTCTTGATAAACAAGTTTAAGAAAAATACCTGTTTTTCACAACGATTTTTTCCAGTACTATACGAAAACAATTTTACTCAAGAGTAAAAGTATGTCAAAATTAAAAAATATCGAAAAATAGTATTAATAAAATGTGATCTAAACTGAAGGCAATGTTTAAATATGTAATTTTTTAAGCAAATTTCTAGGTACAGCAGCAATGCAAAATGCACCGACAAGCTAATCAGTGTTTGATAGGTACAAATGTTTGAATGATACCTAAAATTGTTAGAAAACATTAAGAACCGAGAAGGATTTATTCGTATTTTAATCAAAAGAGAAAAATGTTTATTCAATTCAAAAATAAGCACATAGCTTATGTAAATGGAAATAATTACATTTTTCAATATTGCCAAATGTAACGGTACTACATATCGTACACTACTGCAAAAATATTTGCCTCACATTTCTATCACGCACGAGTTCTTTGCAAAATACTCACCAACTACGTTTAGAGTAATGAAGTGGCTCATTTTTGGCTCGGTGCTGACTTGGCATTCATATTCGCCGGCATCTCTGGCTTGGACGTATTTCACTTGCAGTGTCCAGGTATCTGTGTTTTCCACCAAAAACGCTTGAAATCTATCGTCCGCTATAAAAGTGAACCTATCTACGGTGAGGATGTGGGCGTCCCTCTTTCTGATCCAAGACACCGATTTGTTTCCCAGCTGTTTCACTTTGCACGGTAAGTAAGCGTGCGTACCTAATTGCGTTGTTATGTTGGTAGTGGTCGTCGGATCGAAGTACGGCCCTGTGTATAAGCCGGTGAATCTTTTCACTGCCGTATGGGCCGCTTCTCCCCCGGAAAACACTGTAACAAAAAAAAATTGCGTCACATATACACCAAATCATTAATCAGAATATACAGGGTGTCCCAACATACAGAATACCAGCCATACTACAACTAATTGGCACCATATTGGTTATCCGCGTACTGCAAAATGGAACCCAAACAAGATCGAGTGCGCAGTGTGACAAAGGCTCATACTGGATCACATCAATTTCGAGTTTATATAGAATTCGACGAAAGGGTCATTCATTATAAAAATAGAACAAAATTAATCTATGCAGATATTAGATATCTGCTGTTCTAATTGACTTCGTTTTAATTATACCACTTAACTACGAAAGTAATGTTCATAATTTTTAACAAGAAATAATAATACATTGTTATTAAAAAACATTTATTAAAAAAACAAAATGAAATTGAAACGAATAGACCACACGTTCCGCTGGTAAGCAACACCATAGTAATCGAAGTAAGCCAACCATAGGAGCTGCGCAATCTATGCATAATGCAACTAATTTTGACCATGGCGAGCCAAAACTTGTGAACTTCATTAAAAACGTCCTCTCCTGTAGTGGTTCTTTTTAGGGGTCGTAAAGCAAGCAATTTCTGAGTAACATGAAACTGTTTATTAACACCTCAATATAGCGAATTGAGTTGTTTCAGACAAATCGGTGCTCTCGTCTAACGCTATTGAAAATGATTCGAAACCAGCCATAAGACCAGCCAATGTGTCATTAGCCATTTTTATACATCGGACAAAGCAATTTTTCAAAATTCGCTACCATTTTTTCAAATTTTATTCTAGATTGTGTCTTTTCTTATTTGTTCTGGCAGCGTGTGCAGTATAGTATGCTTAGTTGAGTAATACCTCTTCATATTGAATTATTTCATTACACAGCAATAAAATAGGCTTACCATTGTGTAAACAACATTTTCGATTACTTTTCGTTGAATAAAAGAAAATATAATAAAATGTACCTTGCAGACTTAAGATGCACACAAATTGACGATACTAGGAATTGAACTGAACTAAAGCCCGATCCATCCACCCGCTTATGTAGAGAAAATGATCTAAAATTGGCTAGTGCAGAATTTGCTAACATGATTCGGTAATTATTAGTTTTTCATTTAGGTTTCTCAAAGTATCTCTGACTGGAAGCAGACCCAGTAATCATATTGGTTGGTGTTATAGATTCTTGCAAGAATCTAAGTGAATTTTTTAATAGCACGTATCATAGTTATTTTCGACGCTCTTATTCTATCCATTCTTTCTTATTTTAACGCAGTGTAATATTCTACCATTCTCAATTAAGATCAGATATTACAGAAGTTACAACATTACTGTTTAAAATTTTGTTGTAATATCAGAAAATTGATCACATTTCACCATATTACTTGACTTAACTTACGTCAAAGATTCTTATTGTTATTTAACACCAATATATAACTTCCACGCTCAGTCCATAGAGAGTGTGTACAGAAGGTTACTGAACTATTTAAATTTTAGGGACAAGGGTTCCTACCCTGAGAAGGTTAGCCTTTGAGTTTACACAAAGATTTAGATAGTTCATTACGGAATCAATTGTCCGTTTCTTCTGGAACAATTACGTTTACAGCAGTTACCCAGGTCCAATATCCATTTTCAAAACCCCGTTTACAACATGTGTGTTACCTTCAACGAACTATCATCACACTGTTATGATGATCTACAGGCGATCCTTAGGCAACTTCGTTTATCCCTACTGACAAGCCTTGTCCTTTTTTTTCTTCTTCTTTCGATTTTTTTAGTTATAATATATAATATATAATCTTTATTTAGCATTATGCTACATGAAAATACAAAATATAAATTCTAAATATAAAATATAAAATTCCAGATAAACGGAAACCAAAAGCTAAGCACACAGAAATGAGAATTTGGACAATACAATAAAAGTCTTTTAAATTTATTAAGAGTGTCACAGTTTTTAATATTGTTAAAATGCCTTTTTGCAATATAGAGTTTTGTACATGACTAGAATGACATTCTCTCAACATAAAAATACCGCAATTTCTTGTATTGTAAGAATGAATATCTCTGAAATAGGTAACTTTTTCACCAACATAATCGGGAACACACTTCTATTTAATTTTAAAAATAAATACATAGACATTAAAGATTACTTTTTGTTGTACAGACAAGAAATTAAGAACACTCAACATGCTTTGAATTGGGGTATATCTGTTACACTTTAGTGTATTTCTCGTCGCCCTATTTTCAACAATCTGCAATTGCTCTAATTCATAATTAGGCAAATTGAACAAAATTGTGGAACAAAATTCTAAATGATAAACAATTGACAAATTTTTCCCTATTCTAGATATAAAATTAATCTATTTAGAAAATTTATTCATTATGTAAAATAAATAAATAAATTTCAAAGAATTTAATAATCAACAGTCCTCAGTAGATCTTCAGTTAGTAGACTGGGCTCCTTTCTATATACTGTCTCAGTAATATTGGGGATAAGATTTCTTTTTGAACAGATAATAATTGCAATTGCTCTAATTTATAATTAGGCAAATTGAACAAAGTGTGGAATAAAATTTTAAATGGGGAGCAGCTAGGCTGTTGTACAATAAGATTTTAGTGTCAATTGACAAATTTTTCTTAATATTCTAGATATAAAATTAATCTTTTTAGAAAATTTATTCATTATGTAATCGGCGTGTGTATGAAACGCCAAATTTGAGTCAAATATAACACCCAGACATTTAATTTCGTTTGCATGAATTAATTTTTTTTTGTTAATATAAATGTTTACATCGAAAATACAACATTTTGACATGTCCGTGTTTATACAAAGGTTATTATTGCACAGCCTTTCAGAAGCCTTATACAATAAAAATCATAGTGTCATCCGCAAATAATACCGCTTTAGTATCATCTAAAATATTTACAATATCGTTTATATACATAAGAAACAACAATGGTCCCAAAACTGTCCCCCGAGGAACACCATGTTCTACAGTTATGCAATCAGATATACAATTTTTATATTTCGTTTTTTGTACCCTATCTGTTAAATACGAACAAAGCCATTTAAACGCTGTTCCCTTAATACCCATTTTGTACAATTTTCTTACCAGTCTAGTTTTACTAATTGTTTCGAAAGCTCGCTTAAAATCCAAAAATACAGCCAACATAAATTTACCATCCTCCAAAGCCCTCGCGAAATCATCACTGACAGTAACAACGACAGATTCACATGAAAGTTTCGAGCGAAAGCCCGACTGGTTAGTCACTAAAATATTGTTTACGTCACAATAACTTTGCAGCTGCTGTTTCACCACAACCTCAAGAACCTTCTTATAAACAGTTCAGTGCGAATCAACCAGATTTTAGATCTGAAGTTGGACGATGTATGTATATTTGTATTTAATAGAATAATTAATTCCGATTACAATGATGTAACACACTTGACCTTTTAGTCCACTCGTTTTTGACAAATCGGCAAAAACAATGAGTTTTTATTTCGTGTATTTGTCTAGGATTATTTAAGGACTAATATCGCGTATTTCGTCTATTGTAGTTAACGAACTTTTATCAGTCCATAAAATGTTTTTCAAAAAATTATTATCCTAATTATGTCTATTTTTAAAATCCAAACAAAACTGCATCATCCTTTGACATAGTTCTGCACTTAGTTTCTGAGTTTTACAAAATTTAAATGTGTTATATTTATATTCTTTCAAAACTTACTCTAATAATAGAGGAAACTGGATATTTTTTATAGAATCCTAATATGTTTGCAATATGTTCTTCATTTAGAACATTATGATTCAGGCGTACCTTTTTAGCATTTAATACGTTACCGTTTTCTGCAAATTTCTTTGCCAGCCTTGGAAATAAGTGCTTTGAAGGAGCTCAGCACTCTGGATAAAGTCTAATATACTGACGACGAGCTGCGGTTGTATTTTTGTTATTCAGGAAGTACACTAGAACCATATCACTCCTTTCACGGATGTTAAATATTTTTATTTGTCAGTTAGGGCACTCTTTGAAATGATATAATAATGTCCTGATTTTGCCGATATTCTATTAAACACAGTGGACAAGCTTTGTTCATATGGTATTAGAGGTAACGCTTTAAATTGGTTAAGGTCTTTTCTTGGGGGTCGTACGCAGTTGGTCAAATAATACCTTAGGATTTGAATACGTCTCTGATTCCAGGTCAGTGAATTGTGGTGTACCTCAGGGAAGTTTACTCGGTCCTTTATTGTTTATAGTGTTTATAAATGATGTATTTTCATCTTTCCCCCATACTTACTTTTCCCTTTTTGCGGATGATGCAGTTTCTACCCTTTCTGCAGCATCGTCTGAGCAACTTAGCATTGCAACCAAGACAGCGGTTGAGCAAATGAAACATTATGCAGAAATTAACAAATTGATATTGAATAAAAGTAAAACTGAGATGATCGCCTTTTCAACACGGGATTTAAATAAGAGTTTATTAGTACGCTTTAATGAAAGCACAATTCAACAGAAAAGTGTTGTAAAATTCCTCGGGGTTTATGTAGAATCGGGTTCGAACAGGTGGATCACATTCTCAGAAAACTATCTGTTTACTGCTTTGTCATATGGAGGTTCCGCCATCTTTCACCTTGTTAAAAATGTACTATTTTTCGTATGTCTATTCATGTCTCAACTACGCCTTGGTTTGTTGGGGAGGTTCCCCACGCGCGGAGCAAGTCTTTAGGATGCAGAAACGCATTTTACGGACTATACTGTTTAAGCCCTGGAATTTTTCATGTCGGAACCTATTTCCACAACACTCTTTATTGACACTTCCTAGTATGTACATACTAAATTGCGCCACGTATGTAAAAAGTAACTCTAATCTTTATATGCTCTCAAGAAACTTAGATATTCAGTACAGTTTAAGACCGAATCTTAACATAAAAATTCCTACACATCGACTGTCTCTTACAGCAAATAGTCCCTTTGTTTTGACTGTAAAAAATTATAATAAATTGCCTAT